GTAATTAGTTCATATGTCATACCATCGTTTTCTTCCTGCCTTGAACCAATTTCTAAGGCAAGTTATACAGTGCGACAAGCCCGTCTGAAACCTCTCTGCGCGAAGAACTACCGAGGTAGCGACGACGAATGGGTTCAAATTGTGTCATATGTTTTTGGTCAGCTCAAAGAGCCCATCCCAACGTCCGAAATGCTCTCTGGAATTGAATCTTCGGCGAGTATCGTCGAATCGGGCGACGTTAGTAAGGAGCTAGTTATCACGATACGCAAACGAGTCCAATCCATCACAGTAGGCTCCCGTCATGAGCAAGCTTTTCCTGTATCAATCTAATTTCAGATAGCAAAGGCTGGGTTCCGTGACCCTAAGACAGGATGATGAACAGGCGATTCAACTATTCGATTGGTCGGGTGCAGCTGTTGCAAGGGCAGATGCTCTCGAGGAACGTCTTTCCACTTTAACAGATCGTTACCGCGCCGCCGAAGACGCAATAGAACGACTCAACAAGCAGTTGGAAGAATTCATGAGTGCGAAGACCCAGCACGACGAGTTACTGATGGCTAATTTTGTGCAATTGTTGAATGAGAAAAAGCTCAAAATTCGCAATCAACAACGCCTCTTGGCCTCTGCAAAGGTAGACTCTGAAAAAGGTATGGTTTCGTTGAGACAATTGCATTGAACACAAGGCATCGTTGACTCGTGGCATTCAATAAAGCATCAGAGATTCGGGCTGCAATCCCGGACAGACATCCCATCTCTGGCCCGTCCAAGCGGAAAACAAAGCGATCCGCTCAAGAGATGTTAGACAGTGAATTCGATAGTGAGGACGGATTTGAGAGGACGAAAGACGATCACGCTGGACAAAACGATGGTCGCTCAGACGATCAGGAAACAGAAGATGAACAAACTTCGACGCCCCAGCCCCTTGAAGACAACGAAACCACCAACACAGGCGAAGCACTTGCATCACCATCAATAGAAAACGAGCTAGAAGACTATAAGCATGCATCAGGCGAAATGTCTCAAAACAGCACTATATTAACAAATTCAGCCGTCCCACCACCCCGAAGAGAGCTTCCATTTGTTAAGAAGCCACAGGTGAATCATTTGACACCAAGATTAAATGAATCTGTCGCCGCAGAGGAGGATGATGAAGCGACGGCTGGGGAAACCGATGATGATGAGTTGTAATTTGCGGCGAGCGCTGCGGATCGGAATTTCCTAGAACTCGAAGTTTCAATTACCGACGCATATAGGCGTCCTTTCCCTTTTGGGGCATGTTCAACACTACGTATGACCACTATATCACTTCAATTAGGGCGAATAAAGTGAGATGACACTCCAGGAGCTCATTCAGAAGAGCTGCAACGTCCAATTTAACATCCTCCTTTGACCAGGAGAACGGACCATATTACTGATGGAAGGGTCCACATTGAATAGCTTCTTCTAACTCGGAAGCCGGTCATTTTCTCCACATCATATGTACATACTCACCTCCCCAGATCAGTTGTGAGGATGACCGACAACGATTTGGAGATACACTGCCCATGTAATGGAAAATAATCAATGAACTGTGGGGAAACAGGAAAGGAGGTAAAACAATATTTAGGTGGTACAATGAAAACGCCTGATCTAACAGACAAAGGAGAACAGACCGAAATGGCCGCAATACGAGCCTGCGCGTCCTAGCCGTACAGAGCCTGAGGAGACATTTCACCAGCAGCCATAAAGTTCGTCTCTGGATTTCCAGTGGCCTTGGCTGCTGAACAGCGGGCCATGGTCGGGGAACTAGATTCTCGATTAGCGGTGGACATGGCCCAGATATGACAAATCAACTGACCTCCGAGCAATGGAATTAGTAAAATAGAAGTCCTCGATGACGTTCCTGAAAGGTGTACCAGTTGGCTGAACGCCCTTGTTCTGGTCAACCAGTTGTACTTTGCTCAGTGAGCTCAGGGAAGTCGGCTCTACGACATCGTACCGGCGCATGACAGGACTGATCTCCTCCATGCGATCGCGGAGCGCCTCAATGTCGTCGTAGGGAAGCGGTATGTTGAGGAATTCACTGGCAGCACGGATAATCTTCCAGTCGTCACGTGCGGCACCAGGCAAGGAGGTGGCCGCCCGAGTGACTTGGACACGTCCTTCAGTGTTAATATATGTGCCCGACTTCTCGGTATATGCTGCACCGGGGAGAACGACGTCGGCCAGTTGAGCACCACGATCACCGTGGTGGCCCTGATAAATGACAAACGCATCGCTCGGAATTTCGCTTTGACTAACTTCATCTGCGCCTAAGAGCCAGATCATTTTCGGCTTGGTCTGCGCTACTTCTGAAGATGGCGTAGTGAAACCGACTTCATAGGCAGCGGCACGGGATGCAGCACGTTGAAGAACGTTGTAGCCTTGCCATTCAGAGGTGTTGAAGTTGTTTCGATGTTTTTCAACGAAGCTGCCAACGGTTTCGAAGACGGCTTTCGCATCCGGATGTTCGGCTGCGGCGCTTCCGACAATGATCATTGGCCGCTTAGCAGAAGCAAGTTTCGCCCCGAATTTTCCAGACAAAGCGGACTTCAATGAAGAGGGGTCTGAGCCAAGGTGTTCGTAGTCAAAAGTGCTTTCAAATTCCTCTCCAACCAACCCAATTTGGAGGTCTGAGCGAAGATACTGCTTGCGTATGCGCGCATTGAGAACTGCTGCTTCATGGCGAGGATTCGTAGCGACAAGAAGGATGACGTCGGCTTCCTCAATTCCGTAGATTTTGGAATTGAAGAGATAATTTGAGCGTATATCAATTCCATGGGCAACGGGAGAGTCGCCTCTCGGCTGATCCAGAGCTAGGTTATCGGATCCAAGCTTGTTGGCTAAGTCTTTCATCGCCACAAGCGACTCGGCATCGACTAGATGCCCTGCGACAGCCTTGAATTCATTCTCCTTCAGCTGCAGTTTCTGCTGAGCGCTAGATATCTCAGTTAAGGCTTGCTCCCAGGTTGCAGGAACGAATTTTCCCTCTCTCCGAATCAATGGCGTTGTCAGTCTCTGGGTCTTCAAACCGTCACATGCAAACCGAGATTTATCGTCGATCCATTCTTCATTGATGTCGTCATTCAGTCTCGGAAGCACCCGCATGACTTCCATGCCTCTAGTATCTATCCGGACATTGGAGCCCATGGCATCGTGGACGTCAATAGACTCGGTGTGCTTCAGTTCCCATGGGCGAGCACGGAAAGCATAGGGTTTTGACGTTAGAGCACCAACAGGGCAAAGGTCAATGATATTCCCGGAGAGCTCGGAGTCGAGATTCTTCTCCAGGTAAGTCCCAATCTGCATATCGTTACCTCTACCGGTAGTTCCGAGGTCTGGAGCACCAGCTACATCATTCATGAACCGAACGCAGCGAGTGCAGTGTATACACCGGTTCATGGACGTCTTGACGAGGGGTCCGATATTCTTATCTTCAACGGCACGCTTTCCACCAATCTCGTGGAACCGACCGCGATCAGCTCCGTAGCGCATTGACTGGTCCTGAAGATCACATTCACCTCCCTGGTCGCAGACAGGACAATCAAGAGGATGATTAGCCAGTAGAAATTCCATGACACCCTCCCTGGCTTTATGCACGAGCGGCGAGTTTGTTTTGACATTCATTCCCGGCTGCACAGGCCAAGCACAGGATGCCACTGGTTTGGGAGCACGTTCAACTTCGACAAGGCACATACGACCTAGGAGCCTAGAGTTAACTCAATCAATTGAAATGAGCCTTTGACGAAGAGACATACAATTTCCCGCAATCATTAGCTTTCTGTTTATTATGTTAGCAAGGTGATTAGATAAAATGCGCGAGGAAGCCATACTCATGATAGCAGTATCTGTAGCCAATTCGTCAGTCACATTGGCCAATTCGTAATTGCTCAATCATTCATACCTTGGAACTGTCACGCCTGCCTTTTCACAAGCTTGAATTAGGGCCGAGCCAGCTATAATTCGTTGTCAGCAGGGATACTAGCATCGGGCCATAGGAATTCGAGCGACCTTCCACTGAAACCTTTTTGCCATCTGATACACAAATGTCAGCGCAAAGATCCTCGTCAATTCAGACTACTCAGTCTATCCCACCGATTGTGAGTTCCACCTCGGCAGAGCGAGGGGTTGTCGTCGCGAAGGCCCTGTGCTTGTTGAATTTAGGGACCCGGAAGGACCGGGCGGCCGCACGAAACAACTGCGGCCGCATAGTGAGATTGAAATCAAATGTCTTGAGAACGGGAAATTAGAAAGAACACGGGATGATGGAGAAGAGAGAAGGGTGGCAGAAGCGAAGCGTTGGCAGAGGTTGTTTCTTCTTAGGACCACTTTTGGCGTGCTCCCGTCGGATTCTGGCAGTCGCTGGTTCGAACATTACTCGCAAATTGCCGCCTGCGGATTGGTTCGGGTGCACGGAGCTTTCATTGTTCCGAACCTTACCTGTTTAAAAGATTTCCCTCAAGCTCAGGTTTGCTCAAACCCTTCTTTTTATCATCAAACTCATTCACGGGCATGATTTATTGTAGGAGGCAGGACATCGTCAATACCTCTCTCCTCTGCTACATGACCCAAGACCAGAGGCACTGAGCTGGAGCTGCTTAGGGTTACCGCCGCCATAATGGTGGCACTGCCTCATGATGGCATAGTTCCTTACCGACAGTTGCAACATAATTTTGTCCCAGATATAAACCAATATATCTTACGGCTATCCCTGACACAATTTCAATTTTCTTTTCTGTGTCTTTATTAGTATCGTTGCAAAGTCGACCCGTATCTACATAGTTTAGAGACCTCGTCTCATACTGAGCAAGAATTGTTTATTAAGTGTTCCAGTTTCTTTAATGTGAATACAAGCGAACTTCTCAAAGAGTCCAGACCCTCAAGTCGGATTATGTGCAATCAACAACTACACTTCGATGAAAAAATAATGCTCTAGTAAACAAAAATATATCCATGGTCTATATTGTACATTCCGCATGCTACTAAGCGTCGCCTGACTGCCAAGTTGACTCTTGTTTTGTACCAGGTGGTAGCCATGTCCTAGACGTGCTGCTTCCCCTTGGCCGAACATGATCGAATGCGTCGTCTTCCTTTTTCGAATTCGCCGCCAAAGCAGCAGAGCTGTCCATAAAGTGAGTTTCACCGGTTCTCGAAGGCGGAAAGGCGTAGCCATTCGAATCCCACGTTTTCTTTGTTTGAACACTCAAGGGAAGAATGGCTTCTTTGGTGCGAAAATGATCGGCGTTTGCTCTTCGGTCTGCCACATCATCATGACTATTGCGATCGTAGAGATACAGCCCAACGAAGGTGAGTGCGATACCGAAAGCTTGTAAACGAGTTGTGGAGCTGCCAAACCACACGATAGCGACGACGATGACGAAGACTCTCTTGACCAGAGAAGCAACTGAATAGGACACTGGGGATATCATTGATAGCAGAATAAACGCCAGAATATTTTGCGCAAAGTGTGAGATTCCATTGAATACGAATTCCGCGAAGAGCGCACCGTGATCCAAAGAGTTATTTTTCCCTGATAAAGAGATGGCGCCATCTTGCATGAGATCTGAGATCAATCGATAACCTTCGCTGATAAACCAAATTGGCAACGTGAGGACGAAGGCGAGTCCCGAGCAATAGCAGAGGAGATTTAGTTTGTCCAACTTCTTTCGACTGCTTGCCTGAGTTTCCGACTCTGCGCGGGAAGCTTCATTGAAGAGCTTTTTGGAAAAGATATTTTGAGAGACGAAAACTAATGCCGCCAGTAATGCGCAAAGGATGCCAAAGAAATTTGTCGAAAACCCAGTAGAACAGGCGAGCATGACACCTAGGGTCAACGGAACAAGCGATAGATAAGTGGCTTTGGCATATCGGATGCGAAAGAACACACGATATGCTAAAACGGTAAAAAGGGGCGAGAGGCCTTTGATGGTGTGAACCAGTGATACTGGTATCTGAGAAGTAGCCATTGAGCTGAGTATATGTCCAGCCAATTGAAAAATTGCCAAGGGCAAGGCTGTTACGATAACATCCCGGGACGGGTAGCGTATGCCATTCCTGAGAGCTGGAACATTGTTCTTAAGCCAGGGGAAGATTGCCGACAGATATGCCAACAATAGACACCATACTGAGACAAATGCAAATTGTATGATCGTGAGAGTAATCGGTTTGGGAAGAGCATTCAAAATGGATTTGGAAGATGTGTTCGTAGTAGCAGAGGTCATATACCATATAAGGCAAAGTATCTCGACAAAGATTAGTCTCAGAATATAAGAACAGCGAGAGTGAATGATCTTACTATTAATCGATACGAGACCGGCGCTCGCAGCGCTTGAGCCAATTCCTGAGCATTGGCACTAACGCTGGCGTTGCGTGTTCTAATCGTGGTAATGGCTTCGCTAATGCTTTTCCTCGATCTGTGTTTCGGAGGTCGGATTGGTCCTTTGGTATAGTCTCGAGGTAGATAGCCTGCCTTTCGCGGCTGCCAATGATCACTCGGCTCATGTTTTGATGTGGGATTCGACTGGGGCTCTCCCGACTCTCTTGTCTTTTGGTAGAGGCCCTCGTCAAATGGTGGGAATTGATCTATCGGGCTCGTCACCGCTTGGGAATTGGATGCTTTCGCTGGCGGTTGAATTTCTGGCTGTCGTATGGATGAGCGCCTTCCGATGCCGGTCACCGTGGTCGTAGTCATGTTTCACATTCAAATCCAGCGATTACTCGGGTAGGTATCTTGAACACTGTGTAGTAGGCATCTTTTAGTTATACGGACTTCTGGACTAAAATAAGAAAGGACCATTGCGGCTGAAATACAATCAATACCTTGTGACGATCGTTAATGGGTCAAGGAACAGATTGCAGCTCCTGGATCTATGTTGATCTGTTCTGGAAGAAATTCTCCTTCAAGTCATTGATCAGCAGTGGCAGATCCATAGAATCAAAGAGAGAAGATGCGTGGTTTGAAAGGCTCTAGTTCTCAGCGCCCAGAAGATGTTACCTATATGTAGGTAGATACCTCATTAGTGAGTCGTTTGCGGTCTTCCCGCTGGCCGCTGGGGTGACGAAGTCCCACGAATTCGGCAAAAGGTAGCGAATGAACATTGAGGATCAGGGCCACGCAACAGACCACATGCCAAGAAACCGGGGCTGCCCTGTATTCATGTACCTTACCTTATCATAAACCGATAAACTAGTAAAGGTAACTGTCTGTCTAACAGAGTACCATTCGTAGATTGGATAGTTTACACAACTTGAATTACCAGTTTCCGAGTAGCATTTCCTGACCCCTATCGACCACTAGTGATATACGTATGCTCATCCTCCGCTCATATCGCTCATTTCATATGAGTATCACTTAAATGACACCAACCCAGCGTAAAAGCGTGTCAGAGTCGTGGCAATTACATTTCTTGCCTTAATGATGTCCAGTTGTACACAATGAACACAATGGGCTCAGTGTCTAGTAGGTAATAATAATCTCTAGGCACAGAAAGGCGAACGTTCCAGCAAGGACAACTACATCAAGAGACGATAGTAGTACCTTAGTATCTAGGTCAGTTGTGTGCCTGAATGGCATCCATATATTAGACTTGTTTGTTTCGCATAGTACAGGTATCTGGACACTGCATAGACTGTCAAAATGTCACGTGGCTGGGTGATTTTTCTAGCTACAGGCGGTAGCTGCACGTTGCTTTGATACTCAAAAACAACGTCATGTTCAGTCTCAGATCAAGTACCATCGCAACTTGAAGCCTATCAGACGTCAACTCGACTAGCCTACCTGAATATCTTCATAATGAACAACCTTGATGTCGAAACTGCTAGTATTTATGAATATCACCCTGTGATAAAACGTCGAAGTTGTCTGGCCAGTCTTATTGCGATATGTCTTTATTCTGGAACCACAATATGTAGCGGTCTTCTCGTAGAGAATGATCCACCTCAGCTCCTACTTGCGCAAAATCTCGCAACCATCTCATTCTCAGATGAATGGCAGCTACTTGGCCCTTTCCAATGTGGTACCCGAGGTTCGTTCCGCTTTTAAGCGCCCTTAGCTGAGAGCAGACACAAAGAAGTATAAAATTGCGAGCTGATTTGACCGCAATCTCCCAGAGGCTGTCTGGGGGTCCGATCCCTTGGAATCTCATGGTGGTTTTCATAGCCTTTTTTTTGATGCAAATGCAAGCTTTAACAGCGCGCTAGCTGTCAATGGAAGCGTCAATTGGAAAACAGCCCGAGCTCTCACACATAACTTTGCACCAGAGAAAGCTAGAGCGGAGCTCCATGTGAGTTTTCCAGAAATAGACTGGAACTTAACGCAAGCTGTCTATGGATGGTCTGCTCTACAATATCAGGCCTGGGCGCGCGGATCATTGAATATTGGCCATTGCGCGCCTCAGTCTGTGGCAATGTTCACAAGCGGACTCCTTGAGATTGTGATTGATGGCAAGCGGCATTTCGGAGGAGATTTTTATGACTATGGCACAGTACCCATCATTCTTGATTTAAGTCCAGGTGACCATGTGGTTGAACTGCGGCTTATTCGCGATGTTCGAGCTTCGGGCGCAATAGGAGAGCCCACGATCGTAGTGTCGCTTGCCGCGGAAATCCGTAACGAACCTCTTAGCGTCGATAAAGAAAGTCTGCTGCTGCCCGACATGTGCCGTGGCAAGCTCGGCACACCGTGGGCATCAATCAACCTACATAATAACATTGCTGATCGGATTGAGGTTCTTGCCATCAGCTCAATTGGTGTTGGTGTCAATCCTCTTGCCCTTGGGAAGATACGAAAGAAGAGTGACACATACTTAGGGCCGCCGGCATAGTTTGGTGATGAACGAGCCACTAGACTTGCTGGGATATCAAGCACGACCTCTCGTGTTCCAGATCGACCTTGGTGATTCGTCCCAAAAGGAGTTATCCGCTGAAATATTGTATAAAATACACCGCGGGCATGACGAGATCTTCCAAACTTACCCACTCCGTTTGATACTCACTGAAAAATTAGTATCCCAGACCCAGAAGCTCACATACTATTATGCAGGCATAGTCTCTTATGCCATCCTGCGCCCTCCCCCGGTGACATGTGCACCTGCTATTCCCGAAGGAGATGGCACCTTGCCTGTCATTGTTGGCTTGCATGGTGCAGGTGTCAAGGCAGACAGTGTACAAGTCCGTGAGATGTTGGATGCCGCATATGGTACTTGCGCGTGGATATTATTTCCCAGTGGGGTCACTCCTTGGAGCGGTGACGATTGGCGTGAGTTCGTCGTGTTCCTTACCTTGAACCCCCTATGTCGTCCTAGAATATCATGTCCCACTGTGGGTCTGCTTCCTTCCCAGCCTCTGTCCTTCTCACGATTATATGTACGCTCTCCTCTTACACGTCTTAGGTGGCATGAAAGAGGTTGCAATTACTGAGGAAGAGGCTTCCTGACTGGCTATAGATACTTGGGGTGCCGGAGACGTCGAAGCTGCTGTGAGCGCAATTCCACGTTGGATGGACAGTACTGGCTGGGATATGGTGAGCGTATCACAGGATGAATGGATAGTCGTCGGACATTCAAATGGAGGTAGGATCTGTCAAATAACCAATCTCTCAGCTTGCTTAATTTCTTGTAGGGCAAGGGGCGTGGTATTTGGCCACCCATTATCCTGACAAAGTAATCGCCGCAGCACCAGTGTCGGGCTACTCATCCATTGAGAGTAGGTCGGCAATATCAGTTTGCATGGTTGAGAGTGCTAATATAGGTAGATTATGTACCTTACAACATGTGGCGGGATTCCGAGCCTCTGCTCTCCTTCGTGCTCTCGAGGTCACGGTCAAGCTTTAAACATGAGTTGCTGCTAAGCAACGTTGCGGGTATCCCGATATTGCAACAGCACGGCTCAATTGACGACAATGTCCCCGCGTTTCACTCGCGCTTAATGCATGAATTACTTGGACAGACACAGTGGCCGTCACAGTATGATGAATTGCAAGGTCAGAATCACTGGTTCGATGGCGTACTGACCACCCCATCCCTTCTGGCATTCTACAATGAAACTGCCACCTTTCGTCGTCGACCAAGGCTCCCTTTGACATTCACCATCACCGTTCCGCCGTCAGCAAATATTGCGAAAGGTGGAATCTATGTCGATCAACTGCGATCTCCTGACAGAAATGGAGTAGTGCAGGTCACTAGAGCTGCGCATAATGGAATATGGTACCTAAATACGACCAATATACATCGCTTCCACCTTTCGTCAAGAGTCTTGAGTTTCACAATGCCCTCTGCGCTAGTCTTGGACGGCAGAGATCGCTTTGAAGTGGGTCACATCCGGCCTGAACGCATGTGGTTTTTGAGAGATTATCGAGGAAGGTGGACTATCTCAGAGAGAACGGATTGGCGCCAATTGAATGAGCGGTATGGTCGTCAGCTCGGAGCTATGGATGCCATCTTGCGCACCAAGGGCATCTTCAACATCAACATATGCTCAGCTGGGATTGAGCACATAGCTGTGCAAATCAGTCGTAATCTTCTACAATATTTTGCTGCAGATTCCCAAATATCATGGCAATGCGGCTCCCTAATTAACTCCAACAGCAATCAGGACCGCGTTGACGATAGAGGGAATGTTATCACACTTGCCCTGGGCAACGAACTACCTTCATCGAAGTATATGTCATTTCCGATTCACATACAGGGCCAAGGTCTCAGTCTCTTCCAGGGCTATTGTTGGCCTCAGGCAGACACAGAGGCAAACCTCCAGTCCAGCATGAACCGAGAGTGTAAGGTATATGAATTCCCCTTCGAGCGAGGCATGGGCGCCCTCTTCCTCCGCCCTTTGGAGAATGAGAGACTCGAGCTTGTTGTATGGGGAGCAGACTTGTCTGGTCTCGAGCAAGCTGCACGTCTTGTACCTACCCTTACCGGTGTTGGGCAACCAGATTTTCTCATTCTTGGCGATAGTTGCCGTTGGCAGGGACACGCTGGAGCATACGCAGCTGGTTTCCTCGATTGGTCTTGGCAGATATCGTCCGGGTCTCATATTCGCGTTGATGCCAGCCTGAATGAGCAAAGTTTAAAATACGGTGCTTGATCAGCCTGCGATCCTGGTGATATTGAGGCAACCCAAGCATGGTTATGAGGGATGGACATGTCAGTCCGGAAAGGTAAGACCTGACATCGAATCTGTTCTATCCCCAGTACTATGTAATGTCGGAGCACTGAAGGTCTTCCTCCATTTAAATGTGGCTTAAAACAATGATGTTCCGCCTCATGTTCGGTTCAACATATCATTTGATTGATTTATTCGTACTAGGCTTTCTAAGGCTTAACTTCTCCTTCTTGTTGAGATTCTGAACATGGCTCTTAAGTGTGGCGTTGTCGCTCGTGGTCCCTCTACTTCAGGTACAGTACAGCACACTTCATTGCAAGAGTGATCCCTTCTCCTGATTTCACTCCTGCCTATTTTGATCTCGATCCTTTTTGCTCATTATCTGGTATCTTCTGTCTCCGGCGCTCCTTCTTCATTACGGTACTCTCTTGAGTTTATTTTGCGTGAGGTATCTTACCTTTCCGGGGTCTAATGTCGACAGAATCCATTCTTTCTCTCACGTAGAAACAAACTCCCATCTGTCACCTTTCGTCCCTTGTCTTCCACAATAAAACATATTTCTCGGCTTAACACCGTCTTCTCGACAACTTGGCCTCTGACAGCTTGCCTTGACATCTGGAATACTCATAGGTTGCCAGGCGTGTTTGCCTTTTTGAGTACCTTTCTACAATTGCTTCTTGTCCCCTTCAAAACTTCGCCTCATAGACTCGCTGCGGCAGATTGCCAGCCAGCGAAGACTTGAGTACGACTAGTAGCTGAGGCCGGCAAGATGTCCATGCTATCAACCGGGTCCCCTAGAACGGATCGCCGACCTTCGCGAACAGAAGCCATTTCAGGCAATCAGATAGCTGAAGCACAGTTTATACAATTTGGATGTGAAACATCGGTAAGTTGAAGCAACTTCTAGCTTTGAAACGTTATGTTTGTCTTGAATCAACCATACTCTAACGCAGTTTCATGATATTCACAGGGACGCAAGCAATCCAGCTCTCCTAACAGCACACCAGACCCTCTGGTGTCTTCCAAACTCGGAAATTTCCAGCCTACTGCTAGTGAAGTCGCCGATGTTTCATCCAATAAGGTCAGCACTTCTCCTCCAGGTCCTTTGATACCCATTGTCTCACAAGCCTAGAAGCAGAAGCTGGAGCATTCGTCCACTGCCTACCCAAGCAGAAGTTCCGAGATGGAAAAGCTATTGGCTAAACTTTCTCCCAAGCCTCAATCCTCTGCTTTCAAGCCTGTTGAGAATCGAGAGATACTCACGAAGTTGTCCGAGCAACAAGCCTTGCTTGAGCAACAGAACAATCTCCTGACGAGCAACAGTGCTTTGATCGAGGATCATGTTGACCGCAACAAGAATTCTGCAGTGATGCCACTCACTTCGACATTGGAAATATCGCATGCCACCGAGCCCATAAATAACGCTTGCTTTGGCCCCACTGATATTGAGACGTCTGAAGTGCTCCGCCTCAAGAAGGAATTGCTCGCTGCGAATTCTAAGCTGGCCCTCCAGGAGCAAGAACTCGCACAAACACGAGTTATGAAACACACTTTGGATCAAGCTCTTGGAACACCCTCTGAAGCTGACTTCAACGGGCGTGAAGTCACAGAGCACACGATAAGCCATTTGCAAAGTGCCTTCAAGGCGTCCAACTCGAACTTTACGAAGCCGCATGAAAGATGGAATACCCATGACGATTCACAATCAGACGTCTCAGAAGCGCTATCAGCAGGTGCGTACAGCAGGGCTCGAGGATTGTGGTGGCCCCAGACCCAGCAGGAATTTGGCATGCATATGAATGCTCCAGCCGGCGAAAAGGCCTACGGTGAGCATGCGTCTCTCTCAAGCAATACCTTTGGTCCGGAAGCCAACAGGTTCTGGGCCAACCCTACTGCAAGTCTTAGCATAAATGGCTCTTTTCAACCACATCGAATTCTTTCAGGTCCCTCCTTCGGGACCTGTAATTCCACTACGCAATACGCTGAGGATCCAGCTCGGTATCTTCATAGCCCAGATAGTGCTCAGCGACGCTTAGTACCCCACGTTAATCGTGCTGGGCATTGCTTTTCAGCCCAGAATCCTTCGTGGGAAGTGTCGTTTAATACTGCATCCCCTAGCAACCAGCTTCCGCGAGCCCCTACAACTCGACCGTGCAGCACATATCAGCAGGTGGGTCTATACCCAATCCCACCTTACCAAAGACCTATCGGAACCTCGCTTTCGCCTACGGCAAATGAATTTACTTCCTCTGGCTCAAATGCGGTCCCCTGGACGACATCTCCGGTGAGTTTCCAACAACAATCATTCATGCACTCTCGTCTTCCTCTGCTAAAGCAGATAGGTCGGCGCAAACAATTTGCAGACTTATATCTCTACACTTGAGCCACTCAACTACCGTCGGCTCCTCGATAAAAATGTGTCTTGCGACTGGAAATATATAGTGGACAAAATTGTCTGCAACAACGACCAGCAAGCCTCTATCTTTCTTCAACAAAAGCTCAAAGTTGGAACAGCTGAACAGAAATATGATATCATCGAAGCGATCACACATCAGGCGTATCCGCTCATGGTCAATCGTTTTGGTAACTTTCTTGTTCAACGTTGCTTCGAGCATGGAACTACGGAGCAAGTCGTTGCCATAGCCAATGCCATCAAGGGCAACACGCTGAGCCTTAGCATGGATCCATTCGGATGTCACGTGGTTCAAAAGGCTTTTGACTGTGTCCCAGAGGAACACAAGGCTGTCATGGTTCATGAGCTTCTTCGCAGAATCCCAGAAACGGTTATTCATCGGTACGCATGTCATGTGTGGCAGAAGCTTTTCGAGCTCCGTTGGAGTGGGGAGCCTCCTCAGATTATGGCGAAGGTCAATGAAGCCCTGCGAGGAATGTGGCATGAAGTTGCTCTGGGTGAAACTGGCAGTTTAGTAGTCCAGAACATTTTTGAGAACTGTGTAGAAGATGAGAAGGTGACAGTTTCCCCAGTCCCTCGCTCGGAACGCTTGTTTTTCTTTCGTCCTTACTGCGCGAATTTTATATCTCGGCAGTCCTGTGTCGACCGAACATATCTATTCCCGAAACCAGATGATGAACAGCGCTAACGCTTTATGTAGCGTCCGGCTATTGAAGAAGTATTGGCAAAGATCGATGTACTCGCCCATGGTCAATTCGGAAACTGGTGCATTCAACACATCTGTGAGCATGGCGCTCCTCAAGACAAGAGCCGAGCTATTGAACACGTTCTCCTCTGGTCAGTCGACTACAGTATGGATCAGTTTGCCTCCAAGATCGTTGAAAAATGTCTCAAGATAGGGGGCTCCGAATTTCTGGATCGCTACCTTGCCCGGGTCTGCACTGGCCGTACTGATAGACCCAGAATGCCCTTGATCGATAGTAAGTTACTTCAGACTGTTCAAATGTGCTCCCCCGACTGAGTTGATTTTCGACAGTTGCTGGAGATCAATATGGGAACTACCTTATCCAGTGGATTTTGATGAATGCTCCGCCTCATCAGCGTGAATTGGTCGCCAGCCACATTCGGTATTTCCTCTCTCTACCTTTACCAATATAGGCTCACACAATCATCATAGGAAGCACATGGTATCTTTGCGTGGTTCCAAGTTTGGTTCACGCGTGGCAATGCTCTGCTGCAATCCATCCCATAGCACCCGTCCCGGCCCCGGGGCGGGCATGCAGATCGGCCGTTTCAGCACTCTCAACGATGACCGGTATCACCTGGCAGGCCAACATGGAGGGCGATTCAGCCGCGGAAACCAGTGGAATCCTAACTATCCACCATTTCGTTGACTGAGCCCTTAGGAATTTCGACCAGGCACGGCGACACTGCCGTTCACAAACTGCAAGGTATGAATGTAGGAACCAGCAAATGTTATCGACATTCTTGTGGCAAACAAGCAATTCAGGATGAATTTCTTATGTTGTTTCTTGTGCCTGAAAGGCTGGCAATATTCTGTGCGAGTTTCCAGATAACCGGTTGAACTCATCGAGAGATTGTGCATTTCATTTTCTTTGTGTTTCTGGTTTATTATACGTCCAAGCTGTTGTTCCCTTTTATGGTTGAGTGAGCGATCATATGATGGAAATAGTGGTATCCAAGTGCATTGCAGAGATATTAGCAGGTATGGGATAGTATGCTGGGTTTGGCTTATGCAAGGTAACATCCCATGGCAACTGTATATCTCGGATCGTCTCCTGGAATGTGTGCGATTCGATGGCCGTTAAGTCGTTCTCTACATAGCCATGTCATTCCGTGAACGCGCAATGAAAGATACAAAGATAAGAGGCTTATTTCGATGGAACACTTCTTTGCTGACTTGATTACTCCGCAAAGCTCAAAAGCTTGGTATGATAGAATTGACATTGCATGTCTCGAAATGCACCATTGTGCGTTGTTGTAGATTAGCAGCTTCTCATCCCAGGAAGCATCACAATGTTGCGGCCGAAAGATTGGACCTTGACTGCAGTCCGCGTCAAAATGGAGTCTCCAAGCAGTAACCTGACTGCTGGCCTCTCCGCCGCGGGGCTATGCATGCGCAGTTGATAGTATAGCCGACATGGCCGTCCTCGTCAATTTTCAACCGCTGACTCTGACCCTCGTGCAAATTCATCATCTACTTCCCAAGGTTTCCGTCGCCTCGGTTTCTCACTTGGAGTATCATGGCCCGTCAAAACTGTGTCAGGTATTTGCTGAATGCCGGGTATTTGTTGACCAGTCGTTATGAGTTCGACAATCCGAGAGAAGGATGATGGGTAAGCGGGCTCTTGAACAGACGGAGATTGCTGATTCATAGAAACTAAGCCAGGCGGTACTGCGGTCTCTGATACGCTTGCTCGTTGAGAATCATAATTGCAGATTTCAGCGTCAGGCGAGGGCTCTGCTGTCGGAGTCGAACCCAACCAGGTCTTGAATTTTTTGAAATCGAGTGGCGGCGACAGCTGCTCTTTGCTATATTAATGTTCAGCAAATTTTAGCATAAGCACGCAACATAAGCGAAATAATGCTAACCGTAAGCCTGACAATGTGCGTTAAAAGGGACATACCGCGAAAAATAGAAGCATTTTGCTTGTACTACTAGGTCATCTTCGCAATCGATCTCAGCTTTAGTTGCCGGGATGTCGGGATGACCGAGGATGATGGAGAGGCCTTTTGCAAATTCCACATCTGTACTGAACGGATAGGAATTGAGCTTTCTAAAGAGATCAATTTCTGGTTCTTGGGTCTCTACCAACTGACTTCCCTGACGAGGTGTGTCTCCCACCATTGCGTCTGGATGCGGGGTTGGGGTCTGTGGAAGAGTGTCCATTGGCGGACTTCACAAAGGCTCGTTACTATATGCTGGACCGTTATTCTTGCAATACTTGTAGATTCGGGCGATATCCTTCGGCTTCTGGAAATAAAAGGTCTCGCTGTCAACTCGATGCCAGACTTGTGGCTGGTGAGACTCAGGGAAGTTAAAGAGACAAATTGCGTATACGTGGGGAGAGACTTCCTTCCAGCCGAGGCAAGAATCGCTCTGACGTAAGATCTTATAACTAGTTAATATCTACCTTAGATATGCGAATACAGATCATAATCTCACAAGGAAGACTAGGAACTAGCAAGCCCCGCTGCCTCAACTCAGCAATACTGTACGAAGGCGCCTTTCTTAAGCAGGGCTCCAAGATCAAGCCAACTTAGGGGGGAGAAGGGGGAAAAGGAAAGGGGGAAAAAAGAAGAAAAAGAGAGAAGGCTGCGGGGTGGGAGACAGGCAAAAAGAGGAAAAGAACGCCAGCCATGCAATTTAAAACAAACCAAGACAGTGATACAATAGAGTCTGTACGTCTCTTAGGAAATGAAGGGAAACAGGAAACAACTATGCTGAGATGTCCATTTCATCTGTGCCAGTCTGACCCCTCGGCCTGTCCGCCATCACCAGCCCACTAATCCCACTTTGGCAGCCTGGGCAATTGTGCACAATTTCATGAGCAAAAAGATCACAATCAATACAGAAGTGATTCTTGCAAACTGTACACTCATAGCGACTGCTGACACTCGTCCCTTTTGCCTGGGACTCGGTAGCTTGCCACTGGTCTTTAGGAGGTACCATAGGGAAATATATGCCGCAGGCAAAGCATGTCAAACTGCGTGAGGCATGTTGCCAGGGAACCTCAACCCAGTTCATGAGTGGAAACAGATGATGATAAGATCGCGCAAGATGTGTTGACAGTATAAGTGTAAGACCGCAAGAGGGGCATTCAGAAGGGAGCCCACAGACTTTGCTATTGCACCGTGAACATAAGTACCCCCCGCAAGAGGGTTTAGAATGACACGCACAGAGAGAGGGACAAGTCTCGACTGTACGGGACGGAAACCCCATCATCAAAAGAGAGCTTGTGGCTTGTTTTTGGGAATATGTTACAGGGGGTGTCGTTACATCCATCATTAATTCACGAAAGTGCTGCTCGTTGAGCGCCACGCCATACGTGGTGTCGTCTCCCCCATTGGTCCTAGAGCAGAGTTCACGACAAATAGCCACTTGAGCGGCCAAACCAGCAATCCTGACACGGATTTTGTCATTTATCAAAGTGGTAATCGTCTGATGTATATCGCCCGGATCGGAGGAAAGGAGAGATCCAAAGATCACAAATACTTCTCGGGTTCCATGACTAGGAGTATGACTATCGACGCCAGGTCAGTTTTACGTGTAGAAATGTGTGTTGGCTCTGGTGTAGAAGGTCTCACAATAAAGCACCACGTGCCATTTCAAGGCCGTTCTGCAAGCTAGGAAGTCCCTTGGGGTCATGATCCCTCAAAGCCTGTATAGCACCAACATGCTCCGTAGGGTTGCCACTCATATCACTGACCCGAATTGCAAGACCATCCCTTAAGCCAAGCACACCAAGTTGGGATATGGGATTCTGCTCAAAGAATTCCCGCACGAATTCTTGTGCATATCGCAGGGAAAGAAGGTATCGCGTCGGCCTTAGATCTTTCTCGGCCATGGACTGGGACAAATCCAGAATCAAGATGAGGTGCCGGATAATACCACGTTGCAATGGTGTTGTATCTCTCAAAAGTCTACAGGGCGATGATGATTATGATGCTTCTCAGTGCAAAGGCCCTTAAAATGTAAAAGGAGTCTCCATTCTGGGTGAAGCTTACCTCTTCCTTTTCCCGGCTTCTAAAAGTCCTTCAACAGTAGAGCTGATTGTGCCATCAGCACCCTCGACCAAGGTCTCCCAAGTCCTTGAAACCTCCCATTCAGCACCCCCGCGCTGCTTTCTTCGTTTAGGACGGGATGCAGGCGCCGTTTCCCGGGCATATCGGATACCATTGACGTCGTTTTCTTCGTCGGAAACTTCACCGACGTACTCTTCGTCCGAATCAGCCATGGTCTCCTCGAAGAGTCGAGTGGAGTAACTGTGTCAGTCTGTAAGTGTGTGATAATGATAGGAGCATTGAGTCAATCAAAAGCGATCTACATGAGACTTGGGAAAAAAAAAAAAGGTTGGCTAACACTGCTCGTGCTTATCACAATGCATCAACTCATCAAGTCATTGTGAAAGCTTGGGTAATCAGTGATTTGCTCCGAGAAAGAGTGGGCCAAAAAGCCAAGATGTACCTAGCCTCCTAGGGTTCTGGGACTTCTCGGAACTCCGCCATAGCTCCGTATTGAAAATTTCAGCTCTGTTTCTCTGAGATGATGACATCCATATGGAATTGTAAGGTACCTAAGTACGGAGTAGAGAGGTAAAGATTTGTTCCAGAGACACAAGGCACTCAATTACTCGCCTTTCCCTTCCAAAAGTTAACAGGCGGTAAATAGCTGATCAGGTACAGAGTCAAGAGAAATAGAGATGATCTCAGAGGTATTGCTAGGTATAGAGTAAGGGTACAATGATAGTACCTTATCAGTGTCAACCATAAAATTACTTGACTGAAAAAGTGTCTACCTGGACGACATTGTCTAGGATATTTATTTAGCGTAGCAGAAATACTAGTAGTACAATACGATGTTCAACACATAGTTTCAATTTTTCACGGGTTTATCAGACCCTTTGAGAGATCCTTCGAAGACCCTAGTTTCGTTCCATCCGTGCCCTTCCTTTTCCATGTCTCGATAAGCAGATTAGCAGAAGCTCTCTTTCAGTTATCCCCGACAATAGCCGTCGCCAGTTTCGTAACAGATGTGGAGGAGAAGATGTTGCATCGTGTCTACGAGATGCGTTGGCGTAATCCCTGAAGCAATCCGCTGTCATCATTTTGTTAGCTATCGACCCATCCGGCCAGTGTCTCTCCGCCCCTCCTTCCCCTCTTCTGCTTCTTCTCGTGGGGTCTCTTCTTCTCGCTTTTGCCTTCCTTTCTGCACATTTCTGCCTCGCCCAGTCATACTTGATCTTCCAAAATCCCTCGTAAGGCACTGTTCATTTGACGTACGCGAAATGGCAATGGCGGATAGAGATACACTACCTGACGCGTAAGTTTTTGCAACCTCTGTCACCTGGCTTCTTCAACAACGTGGACAAATGTTGACGAAGTAACAGGGTTAAACCAGTGCACTACCAGGTATCCTTATACGATCTCGAGCTTGGTGGTGCTTGGGGTTACAAGGGTATTGTTAAGATAGCTTCCACCATCACCCGGCCCACCAAGGAAGTTGTGCTTAATTGCAAGGAGATCGAGGTCCATAAAGCAGAGATTTTGGGGAAAGATGGTTCGTCCACGAAGCAACATCAACATTTAAATCAATGCGTTGCTGTAGATTCCACTGACGGCGACTGTCATATTTTTTACTTCAGGTACAAAATTCGCGAAGGCGTCTAACATCGCGTATGACAAGAAGTCAGAACGAGTGTCCTTTATGTTCTCTCAAGAAATATCGCCTTCAGACATTATACTATCTGTTGACTTTACCGGCACGATGAACAATGCCATGGCTGGTTTCTACCGCTCAAAGTACCAGCCTGCCGTGCAGCCCACGGCTGATACACCCAAAGAAGGTGACTTCTACTACATGCTTAGTACTCAATTCGAGTCCTGTGACGCACGAAGAGCCTTCCCTTGCTTCGATGAACCAAATCTTAAGTCAACTTTCGATTTTGAGATCGAGGTTCCCAAAGGCCAAACTGCCTTGAGCAATATGCCGATCAAGTCAGAACGAGTGGGTAGTAAGCCCGGCCTCAAGTTTGTGTCCTTTGAAAGGACCCCAGTCATGAGTACCTATGTCAGTACAGATACCTTCGTCCTTATCTGCTAAGGAAAGGCTAACTAGTCACTGTCTCCGTCCAGCTTTTGGCATGGGCTGTTGGTGACTTCGAGTACGTTGAAGCTATGACTAAACGCAAATACAACGGAAGGAGCATACCAGTCCGTGTTTACACTACGAAAGGGCTCAAAGAACAGGCACGTTTTGCCTTGGAATGTGCTCATCGCACCGTCGATTATTTCTCGGAAGTATTCGAAATTGAATATCCCTTGCCCAAGGCTGACCTTCTTGCCGTTCATGAGTTTGTAAGTGGTGCAAAATGCGTCCTGAAGGTTCTACTTCCACTAATCATATCGCCTCAGGCCATGGGTGCCATGGAGAATTGGGGTCTTGTCACATATCGTACGACCGCAGTTCTATTTGATGAAGGAAAATCCGACACCCGCTACAAGAACCGCATTGCATACGTCGTGGCTCATGGTGAGTTTCTTAGCTTGAGGCACAATGACTGCATGCGGCTGTTTTCTAAGAATGAACCGCAGAATTGGCCCACCAATGGTTTGGCAATCTTGTGACTATGGACTGGTGGAATGAGCTTTGGTTGAACGAAGGCTTTGCAACTTGGGTTGGCTGGTTAGCCGTTGATCATTTTTATCCTGGTAAGAGAGCGTCCCTTGCTTCTGTGTCGATATGTACTGCGACTTCATCCAACTAATGTAACGAACCAGAATGGAACGTTTGGTCTCAGTTTGTCGTACGAAATTCCCGAGGTAATGATATCATTGTCCGTCTGTTGTTAACTGGTCGCGTAGGCTGAAGGGGTGCAACAAGCGTTTCAGCTCGATTCCTTGCGCGCATCTCACCCGATCGAAGTTCCCGTAAGGAACGCTCTGGAAGTAGACCAGATTTTTGACCATATCAGCTATCTGAAGGGTAGCTCGGTGATTCGTATGCTGAGCGATCATCTTGGTCGACAAACGTTTCTACGTGGTGTGGCCGACTACTTGAAGAAGCATGCGTACGGTAAGTCAGGCTTGAGGGTTCGTCTGCAGAAGATCGCTGCTAAGAATGATGTCAGGCAATGCCACTACAAATGATCTCTGGTCTGCTCTCAGTCAAGCTTCCAACCAGGATGTTCATAAATTCATGGTGAGTCAGATCGTGCTCGCTTCGACTCCTGGCGTTTTTCTAACTCTTCCTCAAAAGGATCCGTGGATCCGAAAGATTGGCTTTCCTGTTCTCACCGTGGCAGAAGAGCCGGGCCAAATTAGCATTCGCCAGAACCGATTCCTTTCGACAGGGGACGCAAAGCCTGAAGAAGACGTGACGACATGGTGGATTCCGCTGGGCATCAAATCAGGACCCCGGCTGGCCGACGTGGATTCACGCGCCCTCGTCTCGAAATCCGACACTATTGCGGGCGTCGGTCAAGATTCATTCTACAAGATCAATAAGGATCTGTCAGGCTTCTACCGCACGAACTACCCTGCCGACCGTCTAGCGAAGCTGGGCCAATCTTTGGACCTGTTAAGTACCGAAGATAAGATTGGCCTCATCGGTGATGCTGCTGCTCTTGCTGTGTCCGGAGAGGGAACTAGTGCTGCATTATTAGCTCTGCTGGAAGGCTTCAAGGGGGAGGAAAACTACTTGTTAGTGCAGAGCACATTTATAAGAGCTTTCGAACTGCTACTCACCGTATTCACTCCAGGGTTTGGTCACAGATTTCGTCGTCTGTCGGAAATCTGCGCTCTGTCTTTTCGCAGAATGACTCTGTAGCTGCGGGATTGAAGAAATTCACGCTCGCATTGGCATCTCCCGCCGCCGAAAAAATAGGTTGGGAATTTAAGCCCGACGAGGATTATCTCACTGTGCAGCTTCGAAAGCTTCTAATCGGCATGGCTGGGTTTGCGGGTCATGAAAGGTGGGTTCCCAACATGGGCAGCTTGTGGGGGAACGACGTTCTGCTCACTGTTTTCTAGCATCGTCATTGAGGCGAAACGGCGTTTCGATCTTTGGGCTTCAGGCAAGGACAAGAGTGCAGTGCACACGAACTTGCGCTCGGCAGTATTTGGTATCACGATTGCTGAAGGTGGACGCGACAAATATGATTCCGTGAAGGAAGAGTATATCAAGACCGACTCGGTCGATGGCAAGGAGATTTGCCTCGCCGCGCTTGGACGTGTCAAAGATGCTGATCTCGTCCACGATTATCTGGACTTTGTTTTCTCTGACAAAGTGGCGATCCAGGATGTTCACAATGGTGCCGTGGCTCTGGCTGCTAACTCCAAAGTCCGCCATCTTCTGTGGGAGTACATGAAGAAAAATTGGGATGCCGTTGAAGCCCGACTTTCGGCGAACAACGTCGTCTTCGAGCGTTTTGTGCGAATGGGTCTGTCGAAATTCGCAGACCATAGCATTGGGGCGGACATCGCTTCCTTCTTCCAGAACAAGGATACAAGTCCCTATGACCGCGCCTTGGTGATCGTTGCTGACTCCATACGAACAAATGCAAATTACAAAGAAAGGGACGAAAGACTGGTTTTGGAGTGGCTTCAGGCTCATGGCTACGCCTGATTGCTGCGAACAAGCTGCTAAGAGGCTTGATTGCAAGTTTAGATTGCAATGTGATCCTCGGGTCCCATATTTCTGGTCATATTGGGATGGTTCTCATTATTGTATGCAACAGATGTCAGATGTGCTTGACCATCTCAAAGGTTACATGGACCTACTTTATGAAAGGTTCAGAGTGTGGCAAAGCAAAGTATCTACTGCTCAAAAGAAAATGTCCGCGCAGTCTCAGATAGCACAAGTAATGGCTTACTCTCTCCTTCTAATGAACTCTGCAATGGACTCAGCGGCAAGTATAACACTGATACGTCACAGAGATAGTTCCTTGGTCACGAGGAAATATCTATAGATGTGTGGGAGGCAGGCCACTGAGCTGGAGTCCCTGCTTTGGAGACCCTGAGAATTTATCTTACATTATGGTAAAATGCCCAGATTCAACCATTCTACGATTACCAAGGGATACTCGAGGCAGCGCTTGAAGAAATGGGGTGTCAGGTGAAGGTGTAAGGCCCCAGCCTAACAGCTGACCACTACGTATCATACATCATTGCCATGCTCGTGCGCATCATCAGCATTCTTCTATTTTATCACTCGCTGAATATTAATTGTACTTGATTC